TACCTTAGCACCACCCGATTCCTTACTCAGCACTCCCATTTCACTATATATTAACTTAGCCTGCACTAATAAATATAAATCTGTAATAATAAAAGTATCCTAGATATTGAATAAATTGTATGAATAGATAAATATAAATATAGGGCTAAAAAAAATTATAAAACAATACAATCTTGCACATGCTAAATATATGATAAATAAATCTGTGCCAACCCCAAACATAAAGTGCTTAGACATTAAGTGAAAAGAAAGTCCATATAAAATCCCAAAGGCATATAACACTCTCAGTGCAGCAGTTCAAAGGAAAGTGAAAATCCTGTACAACAATAGCAATAGGCAGTTCATAAAGTGTCCAACATATAAAGTACCTAAGCATTAGATGAGAAAAGAGTTCATATAAAATTGTTGAAGGAGAGAATATATTGTGCAATAATAGCAATAGGCAGTTCCCATGAGCTCAAGAAGTGTCCATTTCAAACCAGTGATACACACCAAAGAAGATAGCGGTAACTTCTCCACAAACAAAAAGGACCTCTCTTAAACTAATAAGTAGGCCTTAGCAGACTTCAATATATACAGCTGTCAGTACAAAAACCACTCAAGAACAAAATCTACACCAAATTCTGACATGTTCTGGGTTTTCATTTAGGATCTCTTTATTAAAAAATTGCATAACCATTCATCCAGTGGATCTGCATGTACAGTTGAGAAAAAAAAAAAACAAATGTTCTTTAGACTATTTTCTCCTCTAAGCAAATGTTTTTTTTCTTATAACCAGTAGTAAAATATTATTATTATTTTTATAGAGTATTTATATAGCGCCAAAAGGTTTGCGCAACGTTGTACATTAGAATGGGGGACAAGACATGAGACAATACAGTAGCAAAACAATACACGAGGGTTACCCCATTATGGGTACCCCATACCCCATTATGCCTAGTAGATGGGGCAGAGGAAATTGCCAAATAAATATAACCATTGCTTATATGTATTTGCTACTTCCCTCTATTGATTTCTATAATTGCTGGGTGCACCCAGAATCTGGTGCAGCTGTGCATGGTAGCCAAACATCTTCTAACTTCAGCTTATTCAGTTAAGCTTTGGCAATAAAACCTGGAAGCTGAATGGTTTCTATGTAGCACTGCACCAGATTTTGGAATTTGCACAAGCAACGTCATTCACTTGAATGGGTCATGATCAGTGGACATACATGGGGTATAATTCCTGCCACAACTGCAAAGCTAAGCATTGCAGCCACGACAGGTGTACATCCCTAACCTCTTCAGCTAAAAGGGGTAGTGACTGAGTGAAGGTAAAACTGCAGTTCAGCTGCAAGGTTTTACTGACCATCAATCTTACATTTAAACGAGCCCTAAAAGTGCAGCCAGTCACAGGTCTCAGATCACCACCACACCACAGTGTCACCAGATCAGTGTAGTTAGAATTGGTGTTCCTGATTTGCCTGTTTATTGACCACATTTCTGCCTGTTGCATGGATTGATGATTGCCTACTGTATATGCTGACTAGTAAAGTTTGTTTGCTAGAGGGTTTATCCAGAATTCTTTGTGTTAACTTATGATCACACCCCTTTAGCACCTGATAAATTATATGCATGTACAAGCTATTGGGATTTGAGCACAGGTATATTGTTTTTCTGTTGCATTGCAGGTCAGTAGCCAGACCTGAACCTAGTAGCTCTCTCCCACTTTTGTGGGAGTTTGCCCCATGTCGACATTGTGTCCACAGTAGCATTTGCATTTGCAGAGCAGAGCAGTACTGACCGTAGAGGGATTACATTGATGCAATTGGTCAGCTTAAACTTGTATTGCAATATGTGTGAACCTAAAAATCCCTGTCTTTTATTGCAAAGTTTGCTAGAAAAGGTATATAGCAGTGTGCAGTGGGCTGTGAAAAAGTCTCACACATGTGGTTTTCCCATACTCGGGAGACTTAGAAGAATGTCTTTTGGATGTAATTCTAAGTATGCTTATGCTGTGTGTGAGACATAACTTGTTAGAACTAATTTTAATTCATTTATTTTCCAAAAAATTGTGACAAAAAATTACAACTTCAAAAAACTTACCATGCCTCTTAATAAATACCATGGACTGTCTACTTTCCAAAAATGGGTCATTTGGGGGTGGGGGATATTTGTGCTGTCCTGGCGTTTAAGGGCCTCAAGAAATGACATAGGCAGTCCATACATCAAGATTGATCAATTTTCATATTTATATACCATAGTTTGTAGACTCTATAACACAGAGTAAATAATATAGAAAGATTTTTGTTTTTTTCTTGTTTATGCATCAAAAAATGAAAAACCCAGTGGCAATTAAATACCACCAAAAGAAAATTCTACTGTATCTATCTAAAAAAAAATGCTAAAAATTGAATTTGGGTACAGTGTTGCATGACTGAGTAACTGTCATTCAAAGTGTGACATTGCTGAAAACTTATAAATGGCCTAGGCAGGAATGGGGTCAAAGTGGCTGACATTGAGGTGGTTAAAACAAAAATAAGCTACTGAATGTCATGTCAAAGACAAGAGGAGGAGTTTCGGAAGTGAGGATGTGGGAATTTAAATATCTCTTTTCCTTTTTATATATATATATATATATATATATATATATATATATATATATATATATATATATACATATTATACACTGTATAGCTATACTATATATATATATATATATATATATATATTATATATACAGTGTATACTGTATGCAACTTGATAATGATATATTCAGTTATTCAATCAATGTGCATTATATATAATTTTCAAAACCTAGTGATAAAAATAGCTGTGTAGAGTGTTTGTAATAAAATACATATCTCTGTCTAGCAGCCAATCTGCAAGAATTTGATTAATAGTACAATAAGGGAAGCATGAAACATGTAAAAGGCGTACCAAATATTACTTTAGTTCAAACACTGCAATAATTACTTAGAATATGTGCTCCCTGAAAATACATTCTCTTTTTCCTTTAAAGTATGTTCAGATCTATGTACAAGTGGCTATGATTCTGTCATTCAGTATAATATATTGCCATCATCTGTGCTTTACTTTTTAGTTACCTGTTATAACAAAGCCATATTTCCAATAAAAACTCTGAGAATGAGAAATGTGCTGGTTATCTTATTGTCACTAAAAGAATCATAGCATCACAAAAACAGTCCCTGAGGGTACTCTAATAAAATGCTATAAAAATGAAGCTCTAATCTACCTAAAGTTGAAGAGCTACGTTAGAAAGCTACTATCTTACCCTTACAAATTACTCTGCAATAAAATACACTAAATTTAAACTGTACCTGGACCACCAGTGTATCCCAAACACCACCAGTCTAGCACACCACAGTGAATGATAATGGATGACCATGCATTGTGGTGCTCTGTGCTGCCAAAAATGGTGCATGTCCACTTTTTAAAATGTTTTGGTGAGTTGCCAACCCATTATTTTTACAGGCTGCCATTACACAGCACACATTAGCATGTAAAACTCTGCATGTTAATGCATGAGCATTAGGGCAGCACACCAGGACCATCGAAGGCCTAATAAGGCCCCCAAGCAAGTGAGACATGTAGATACCTTATGTATTAAGAAGTCTATAACTTCTATGTAGAGATTCATTATATATTACAATAAACAGAGAAAAAGAGGACAGGTGTTATTTATTATAGACTAGATTACTGGAATAAAATAAAAATGTTTAGGATGTGCAGTGTGATTTCATCTCTTTACTGAATTTTTAGTTTTTGATATAAATTTGCTGGTATTATGTGTAAAAACAAATGATTATTTATAGATTGGTTCCCATCAAATGAACTAACACTTGAAAGTATTTGCTAGACACCATAAGATAAGTTACATTCACTTGCCTTATGAGACCTTCTTCCAAAACTGATCATTGCAGTTCAATGAAAATTTCTGAATGATACAGTTTTCTTTCATGGACATAATCTTTATATTGCAAGTATATTGTTTTGTTACATGTATGGTACAGTTCTGAAGATACTATGCATTTTGCTTTGGCTTGAAACATTTATTCTTAAAGCAATCAAACTCACAGATCATACATCTTACATACATAAATCTATGCATTTTTGTTGCATTCTGGTAAAAGTATTGGGGTGCCATCCAAAGCGAATGGCACTGCAATGCTTTGCATTGTGTTTTATGCACAGTACTGCTCAGCACTGCAACACACTGGAGTGAATCTGCACGAAAAAAATGGCAATATCCACATCAACCAACAAGTGATCAAAATTACAACTGAGTCTTCATGAATGAGATAACACAATCAGTAGGCCATACACAATCATGTCTAGCCAATTATGTCAAGCCTGAGCTAATTAAAATGGCACAAAATTATCAAAAGAAAAAAAAAAGCAGTATGACTGAATACTGCTCAGCAGGGCATGAAAGGATATCAAGACTCATTTAGAAGCTTATGCTGATTATAAATATTTTCAGTAATAAACAACAGTGTTAACGTGTGCTTTTTACCCATTTGCTCTCCAGAGGATGTACCCCCCTTCCTGACCAGCCATTTTTTGCGATATGGTGCTGCGTTATTTTAACTGACAATTGCGCAGTCATGCAATGTTACACCCAAATTAAATTTATGTCCTTTTTTTTCCAATAAATGGAGCTTTCTTTTGATGGTATTTGATCACCTCTGCACTTTTAATTTTTTGAGCTATAAACAAAAAAAGACTGATGCTTTAAAAATAAACAATATTTTTGACTTTTTGCTATAAAACATATCCAGTAAAAATATTTTAAAAATCAAATTTTGTCATAAATTTAGGTCAAAATGTATTCTGCTACATGTCTTTGCTAAAAAAAAAACCCAATGTGTGTAAATTAATTGGTTTAAGTGAAAGTTACATCGTCTACAAAGGGTGGTATATATACTATATACTGGAAATGTTTTTTTTTTATACTAGTAATGGCAGCAATCAGCGACTTATAGTGGGACTGCGGGACTGCAGGACTTCTGCGGGAATTGTGGCACTGGAGGGGGGGGGGGGGAGACTGACTGCCACTGGCATCCCCATTGACACTAATACAGTGATCAGTGCTAATAAAAAGCACTGACACTGAACTAATGACACTGGGCAGGATGGGGTTAACATCTGGGACAATCAAAGGGTTAACTATGTGTGTTTTACTGTGTGTGTTTTACTATGTAAGCATGCTACTTTGTATTGCTCTGCTATGCAGAGCAATACAAAGCAGCATGTTGCTGCTGACAGTGGAGAGATCTGTGTTGTTTACATATAGACCTCTCCCCTGTCAGTGTTCCTTGGCGATCGCCGGGTGTCGACGGTGAATCTCTGCCCGGGACCCAGTGATCGACAGCTGTAGCGGCCAATTACGGCGCAGGTAGGGTGACATGCGTGCTCGCCCCTACTTGGAAATGCAAAATCACATGTATAATACATGATTTTGTGCATCTCTGCTGCCCTGTAGCAATAGTTCTGCTATAGGGCAGTTGGGAAGTGGTTAATGACTCATTTTCACAATTGCGTGGTCATGCAATGCTGCACCCCAATTGAATTTACGTCCTTTTTTTCCCACAAATTGAGCTTTCTTTTGGTGGTATTTGGTCTCCTGTGCGTCTTTTATTTTTTGCGCTAAAAAAAAAAACTGTCAATTTTGAGAAAAAAACAATATTTTTGACTTTTTGCTATTAAACATGTCCAGTAAAAAAATTTTAAAAATAAACTTTCGTCATAAATTTAGGCCAAAATGTATTCTGCTACATGTCTTTGCTAAAAAAAAAATCCCAACGTGTGTAAATTAATTGGTTTATGTGAAAGTTATAGCATTTACAAATGGTATAGATACTAACATTTTTTTTTTACTAGTAATGGCGGCAATCAGCGACTTATAGTGCGACTGCAGCGGGCCTTCTGACACTGGGGGGAACTGACTTGGTGTCACTGATATCCCAATACAGCCAATACAGTGATCAGGGAAGGGATTCACCAGCTGGGACCCTATGATTGACAGCCACTGCTGCGATACTGTATATATATGTACGGCGGTATACTGTACTACGTGATTTTGCACACCCCTGCCACCCTGTAGCAGTATATCTGCTATAGGGTTAGTTCGGGATGTGGTTAAGATTCATGTATTTTATAGTATCAGATTGTCCTGCCTTATTCTTGTCATAGTCATAGCAAAAGAGTGTTGTAGAGTGTTGCAGCTTTCCTTTAAAGAGACTCTAAATATCTTTATTCTCCAAAAATGATCCATACACATCCACTACTTAATTGTCCTGTAGTCTATTCTGTTCTCAGACCTTGTTTACACCTGTGTTTGGAGGTCTCATTTTTACCACTCTTCAACAGCTTCCCCTTAAGTTGCAATGGTAGCGAACTTGGGATGTTCACATGCCCTGACTGCAAATCTTGGCATTGATGCATGGAAAAGTGATAGGTGACATAATAGGGTAGATTTACTAAAACTGGAGCACTCAGAATCTGGTGCAGCAGCGCAGGGTAGCCAATCAACTTCGTACCTCAGCTTGTTCAATTAAGCATTGACAATAAAACCTGGAAGCTGATTGGTTTCTATGCAGAAGTGAGCCTGATTTTGCACTCTCTAGCTTTAGTAAATAAACCCCAATGTCTCCTCACCATCTGTCACATACAATGCAGATCCCTCCTGCACCACAAATGTTAACTGTGTTGTCAGAGGGCACAGCAAGCCCCTACTACGTTAATACCTCCTTGTAGCATCCTCTGAGTTCCTAAACCTCTCCATTTCCTTCAGACTTTTTTTTGTTTGGAGCAGTGCATGTTAGTTGTGGCCATATGCATTGTTCTATGCACGATACAAAAATCATAGCCATAGTCCATTGGGAGTGAGCAAGAAATGGTGACTACATTCCTACAAACAGTGGCACCTCGGAGAACAAACCTAGCCACCCTATAACAGGAAATCAGATCACAACAGCAAAAAAAAAAAAACATTTGGAGAGTACATACTTCAATTGAATTTGTTCAAACCAGAGTTTAGTGTCACTTTAACTTTAAAACTTCTGCAATCATAGTAACAAATTACTGATGAATATAATAAGAAGTAGAGTTTTGACAAGTGTTCTTCTTGTGTGCATCATCACAGTTAGAGCTATCCCTTATAGCACTCCAGGTTCCAGCATGTAAGCTATATTTCTGAAAATAGGTTTGATTAGGGTTAACCGAATTAACCTGTCTAACAGTATGCGTTAAAAACAGGGGTTTAGTTAGCACACAATTGCAAATACATAACATATTGTTAAATTGTAGGGGAATGAGTGCATTAGGACACCCTGTACCTTTAAGAGGGATGGGCTCCCTCGGGTTCACCTGCCCTTGATCTATCCTTTAAATACATGTGCCTCTACCAGGGGCGGACTGACAACTCATGGGGCCCCCATACAATAGGGGATCATGGGGCCCCTGTGTCCTTGCTCAAACTCAAAAAAGCCTATGAAAAAGGTACCAGGGGCATCTCATGGGGCCCCCTACTGACCCCGGGCCCTCGGGCAGTGCCCTAGTTTCCAAATGGTCAGTCCGCCCCTGGCCTCTACTATGGGGGCTCTTAAAATTTGTAGAGTTAGGACCACAGGATACCAGAGTGCCGTGATGTGGCTCTGTGGCTTACGTATGTATTTGCAAATGTGTGCTAAATAAACCCCTGTTATAAACGCATACTGTTAGACAGGTAATTCGGTTGTTGGCAAACTGGCTGGAAAGTTGATCATTGAACCTTCCTCTTTTTCTTGTTTGACATGCATCGCCCGATTCATGTATCCTTGCTGAAAAAGCCAGTTATAGACTGGGGCAGTTACCATTTTTTTGTCTTGTTAAATTTTAGTGGAGTGAGTGCATTTTAGTGGAGTGTACTGCCATTGTTCTACATGCTGGGTGTCCAATGCACTCCTGTATCGTTAAGAGGGGTGGGCTCCCTCAGGTTCACCTGCCCTTGATCTATCCTTTAAATACATGTGCCTCTACTATGGGGGCTCTGAAAATTTGTAGAGTTAGAACCACAGATTATCAGGGTGCCGTGATGTGGCCCTGTGGGTTACACATTTATTTGCAAATGTGTGCTAACTAAACCCCTGTTTTTAACGCATACTGTTAGACAGCTTAATTCAGTTGTTGGAAAACTGGCTGGTAAGTTTATCATTGAACCTTCCTCTTTTTCTTGTTTGTCCTGGATTTATTAACACTTTAAATAAAAGACAGTTTTTGGCATGATCAGTCATATTTTCAATAACAATGCTAAAAGTTTGATTTTTTTTCCAGGGTATGCAAACTTTTGAGAACAACTGTATTTTAGACAGTTATCTGTAATGTGATATAAACATAGAGACAATGTAGAATTGCTACCTTAAGACTCATGACATGTCATCCATTTTCAGGTTCTACCTAACTTTAATGTTACTGGCATTCACTTTCAGCTAAATCAGTTCATCCAGGATATTTTACAAGCAATTAACACAAGGCACATCTACAGTGTAATCTGACAAGTGCGAAATGTATGCAGCTCTTTTTTGCCGTCATCCCCAAGGTATAAAAGAACTTGCAAGGAAATTAACTAACAGCTATCTTCCATGTTAAAAATAAATGTTCTTTCTCAGTGCTCATTAAAATCTTTATAATCAGTTTGTCAGTTGGGATGTGCTCCTTATTCCTCTATGAGTCTTGTCTGATGCAAGCATCAGTAAATTACGTCAACACAAACTTACCAGAATGTTTTTTTTATATTTTTCAAATATCATTTTTATGAATTGGTTTCATCTGTATATGTCAAATATAAGAGCATGTTTACTGTAGGTTTCCATCTTGAAATCCTCTACAGTAATTAAATAAATGAGGTACTGATTATATGAAGTGAATGTAATTATTATTTGCAGGTTTGTTTAGTGTTGCTTTTTAGAACTGCATAAAATAAAATAAGACAGATAATGTGAGTTTCCCATGGTGTTGTGACTCATTCTAAAAATTAAAAAGGCTCAATTTAAAAGAAATACTGCCATTGCTGAACTCCCTCTAACAATGCCTGTTCTTTGTTATACTGATCCCCTGACTTACATGCTTTCTGAATGACTGACCTGGAACCAGGGCCAGAACATGGGTAAAGGGGAAGGGAGGCAGGAGGGGTGGTTGTCCCAGGCTCTGTGTTTTCATGTAGGGGGAAGGGTCCTGTGTGGCTACCCTGCCTTTTTTTTAATGATTTCATTATGTACACTACAGAAGAGGCAGTTGTTGCTGCTAGTGTTGTGTTTTTGTCATTGAGCTTACATTGGACTTGTTACTACTACCTTTGGCCGCTTGCTATATGTGCATTCATCCTGTGTGTGCTGCCTGTCCTCCATACTAGGTTCAGCTACAGCTTAGCTCTGTGTTCAGCTACAGAATCAAGCAACAACGGATGGGACAGGGAAGGCAACCTTTACAAGTAGGGGGCTGTAAGTGGGAATGGGAGGGGTTGCTTGTGTATGAGTGGGGATGGGAGGGGTCTGCATGTATAGAAGTAGGGAAGGGAGGGGTCTGCAATATGGAGGAAGTATTTAAAAGCAAGACTATAGATTTTGAGTTGGTATGCATCGGGCATAGGGGTAGCAAAAACAGCAGTGCTGGCTGCCTTGGGGCAGTTGCTCAGGAGAATAACCCAGACTCAGGAGAATCACCATGACTCAAGAGAATTCTGACCAGGGCAACAAAGGGAAAATATGAGGAGTGGAGATGAAGAAACACAACAACCTGGAAATACCCATGGGACTTTTGTAAAGGCATATCACCATTCATACAATAATTGCAATATGGTTAAAAGTAATCTAACATTTTATTGGTACTAAAATCATAAAAATTGGATTAAAAACATATGGCTGATTTAATCACAATAGGTTTTCACAATGTAGTTTGTACATCAAAGAACATAAAGCATTACAATTGCTGCTTTGAACCTAATATTCTTTTCATCAGGAACAAATGCTATTCACAAGGTATCTGTAAAATACTGTATAAACATACATTATAAGCCATATGGTTACCATAATGTTTATAAAGTTTTCACTGTTGCATCTTCTCATTCCTGTGTCCGTCCTGGGAGTAACTCAGTTGTTGCAACCTTTTGGTATTCTTATGGACATCTCATATTCTAAAGTGTGTTATGTTAGATGTTTATATCTCATTCTATATGCATACATGATGACTGTATTAAAATCTTTTAATAAAGTTTTTTTGTAATTAACAGCTATCTGTCATAGTCAGGGGTCAGGCTCAGAGACCAGAAGCTATAGCAGTAGAGAGACTCTCACCGACCAGGATATGTATACAAGTAGATCACCCTGGTTGATGATGCAAGCTCACCTGAGGTACTGGGTCTAAGTACTAACCAGTATTCACCAGAGCTCCTGATAGTGGAGA